CACAGGAAGGTTTTCACACTGGGTACCAGTGCCTGCTGGGGTGCAGCGAGGGATGATGAGAGCACTATGCGAGCAGAAGAAAGAAGGCAGGACTGAGGCAGAGCCCAGCCATCAGCCACGTTACAGCCACAGAAGCAACTCCTCGTGCGAGGACCCCCGCTCAGTGTGCTTCAGTGAGCTCCACATGCTTATTCCATGTTTAACTTCCTTTTCCAATTCAGACACGGCCCAGGGACTTCCTCCAAGTTTATGCCAGCACCCATTTCAGCAGCAGCAGCACGATGCCCTGCCCCTGCTACAGCCCGGGGCTGTTAGCACAGCTATCCCCACAGCAGTCTATTGAGCTGCAAAAACCCATACATACCCCTTCCTTCCCCAGGGACCAGCACCCACTCAGCACGTTCAAACAGCAATTACCAGATCCCCTACTTAAGCTGTGGCTACACGCAGAGCAGGGCACTTGTTCTCTCAGTGAGGTGAACAACATGAAACGCCCATCCTCTCACAGCGTTGACAGCAGCTCTCCTTTATCAGCTACAGAAGCACGACCTGAGCTTAAGCTGCAAGCTGGTATTCAAGTTTCTGTGATTTTACACCAGGAGCCTTAAGAACGTGTACCTTCTCTTCACCATTACAATGCTCTGTATCCTTATAGAATTAGGTCCTACATGTGACTTCTGTGGCTTTTGTTCTTTATCACTTTGTTACTAACTCTAAATTAAATTTTAACTTGAATAAAAGTGAGTGATTTATTGTAATTATTTTGCATAGGCTGCTCTTCATAAACTTTTTTTTTTAAATCTGGAAAAACATTTAATTTCCCATATGGAAAGAACACATTCATCATACTTTACTTGGATATACTTGGCCGACTATTGCACATATATGCAAAACATATGTGATATATTCAGGGCTGAATTTCATAAAACAGAAATGCTATGAAATGCGATATAACAAATATATTACACAGACACATGCGGCCAATTTATAGAACTATGGTATCTTTGGTAAATTCACAATAGGTCATTTCCATTAATGGTGGGAGTGAGTGCATTTTTTTATAGCACATGCAAAGCATGCACGACTTTCCTTGCGTTTCCTGACAGGAGGCAGACCTCTGAAAAGCAGCATTTTGCACTACAGCACACGAGGGCACATCCACGTCTTTCAAGGTAACAGATACCTTCAAAACCAGCTCCTGCTTTTCACCTCGATCGCTTGTACAACGCACTGGGCAAAAGATGAAGCATGAAATACTGCACGTGGAGCTCAGCAAACCTCAGGTACCAAAGAGATTCTCACGGACTGTGGGTTCTGCTGCTTCAGTCGAGAGCACGTGGCAGAAGCACGTGGTGAATTCATGGTAACGGCCATTCGCAGCAGTCCCTGGGCATGGTTGCTTTCACCTGGGATCAGGTGAAATTAATTTGCTCTTGTAAATTAAATATCTTACTAATCAGTGGAAATACGATAACTAACAGGAAAAAAACTCCCATGTTTAATAAAAGCACGCAGGCAGGTAGGTATGCAATGCTATTTTGGCTGCACGTCTCATAGCAGAGCCTTGCAGCAACAGCCGAGTTACTGCTGGCCGATTATCGCACACACTAACCCACAGGTTGCTACACTTCCTTATTCGTGCCCACGTGCTTTGAAGTTCACATCTCAGGTTCCTAAGCCAAATCTGTTTCTCCCTCCCATTGCGTATCCGCAAGCTCGGGCACAAGTTTTCTTAAGGGCTCGTTCCCCAGGCGTTCATCCGCTCGGTGCGATGCGCTGCTCCTCCCTCTGGAGGGAGCTTGCTCTTCGGGCACGGCCAGCGGCCGCCAGCTGCAGGGATGCCCGACGCCGAGCAGCGCACGGCCGCGCACCAAACCGCCGCGAGCGCTTGGCGCAGGGGCTTCGCGGCGCCGCTCCCCGCCCTCCAGGCCGGCGGCTGCGCGGAGGGGAGCCGCAGAGCGGAGGGAACCGGGGGGGAACTCGGGGAGGGACGTCACGGCGGAGGTCCACAAACGTCGACCTGCCGGCTACCGGCACGGAATCCGCTCCCACCAAAATCCTACGGCGCAGGAGGACAATTCTGCAGGTGAATATTTGCTCTCTGTGACCACGGAGGAGAATCGTAGCCACCAGAACAGGCTGAGAAAAGGACAACGGGGCTCAGCAGCTGTACAGAGCAAGCAGTGACCAAAGCAAATACAACATCCTGCCCAGCCCAGCAGCTGCAATCCGACTTCTGCTCTTACTGCAGTCCTCAGGTCATTCTGCACACAAAGGACATTGATGCACCCTGTGCTCGTGGGCACGTGAGATGACCGAGAGCCCAGCCGTGCTGACAGGTGCCTCCTGCTGACCCCCTTCAATTCCACCCGGATTATCACCAGACCGTGCACAAGCAGAAAGAGAAATAAAAATTAAACAGACAAACAAAACAATGAAGTGTGTAAACAGCATTCATGAACACAAAGTACAGCTCGGTCTCATCTCACACTCTTATCCCTACACTGAGTTTAGCTGGATCCTCCAGAAAGGAAAAACAGCAAAACAAGCTTCCAGAAGCCTGGTAACTGATGAAGCAAAGACCTCCCTTGTTTCACCTGCGAGTGCCTAATCCTCTATTTACCCACTGCAGCAAGCAATGTGTTCTTCAGACCTTTGGAGCAACCAGTAAATTCAGCCTGTACCTCTGGAAAACGGAGCCACATGGCTAATTTATTCTCTAGTGCTCTTTGGGAGAGACAAAGGATGCTTGTACCCCTGGTGTTCAAGCCTGTTTTACCAGCAGCTTTTAAATACACAGCATTATGTGTGACTTGAGGCAACTGTAAGTGGAAGCATTGTCTGGAAATGCTGCAGGTTTCTTTCAGGTACATGCCACAGGTCTCAGTGACAGCAGGTACTGAGTGAAGTTTAAACATACATGTAATCAAACCATACAAAGTCATTTTTCAAATGAAACTGCAACGCAGGTATCACGCACAAGCCGTGCCTCGTTTATATCTCGACTAACTGGCCAACAGGTAACATGAAATTAAAACATTACAGCTCTGTGCAGTTTTCAAGAAGATTTCCACTGCTCCAAGTGCTGTGCTACAAACTTCTTCATGTTTGCTCGTTGCAAGTGAATTCTCTGTTGCAACAGAAATACAACCGATTGTGTCTCTCGTATCTGGAAGTCTCATCCAGTGAGACGTGGACATCTCACAAGGAGGAAATACTGGTGAAAGCCCTCAGGCAGTGTGCTTTAAGGGCTAAAACACGATGCAAAATGGGCCACTAGCAAGTCTAATACTAACATGGGAAAGAACCTTGCGAATTGATAGTTTAAAAGCCATCAGTGAAAGGATGGAAACCATTTAAACGCTTAAAATGATCGGCGTGACACAGTTTTTCATGTTCTTCTGGTTCCTGAGCAGGACTCCCTGCGCCTGCAGGACAGCACAGAGTGAGGCCTGGTGACCCTCGGGGCCCAGAGCCCACAGCCACAGGCGAAAATCCTGTGGTATTCCTCTAAAAGAGATACATTGTGCTTCCTACAGACAGGGCAAGGACCTCGAGTCGCTTTCTGCATGAGCACAGTTTGGTCCTGATGTCGAGTCCTTCAGTCCTCTCACTGCTTGGGAATCAAAACGCATTTGAAAAAGCGTGTGGCCAGTCTGCAGTAGAAGCCAGCAGCACCTCCTGCTGCACTCTGTATGTTTTAAGAAAACAGGTGCCAACAAGCATAAATAGAAGCGTACCATATTAATTTCAACGTAAGACCCCAACCCTGCAAGCTGCTGCATAATGGGAGACCACCAGCAACCGGGGAGACAAAATGGAGGGGGCAGCCACCTACGAAGCCCCACTGTTTGCTCGGGGTAAACAACTCCTGGAGCTCCAGTGGAGCATCCATCCCTCCTTATTTAACGGCCGCCTCTTGCAGGGGAGGCTTCAACTTTGGAGCAGACAAACTGATGGGCATACAGAAGTAACCAAACAAAGAGAAGAAAGAGAGGGAAAGAAGAGGAAAAACATTTATAAATGTCATTGTCTGATGTCTTTCCAATTTAAATGTAACACGATTATCTACATATATCTACAATTATCTACACTATTTGCAGATACGATTCTTTGGTTATCTTCATTTTTCCCCTCATGTTGCAACTATCAAGAAAAAAAATGTTTGTATAATCTCTGAAAGAAATAATAAATATAACAGCTTCATTAAAGGTTTGACCAAAGCTTTGGCACTAATCCATTTACAGATAGCAATTCATATCTGAGAACTGTGACACAACAGTGGCAAAGCAACAGAGCACATCAGAGAGCTAAGCACAAAGCTATTTTACATCAGCCTTGCTGAGAACATCAATTATGGTTTTGTCAGACACAAAGAATCTCACAATTCACTGCAAATGTCAAAAAAATACATATTTCTTGCACAACTCTTTTTCATGGATCCAGATATATTTTTATAACAGAAAAAAGAATACATGACATGTCCCCGTCAGCCTGCACCCCTCCTCACACCCTTCCAAAACGTTTTGTGAGCCCAGTGCCAGCTGCCAGAGACAGAACAAGCGCTGCTGCTAACACTGCCACCCGCACAGCACAGGGTCATACTCTAGAAGACACCGGTAAACAGTAGCAGTTTGAAGTGAAAATGCACAAACGTGAACAGAGGACTCCAAAAAAAAGAAAAGAATAATAATGACCCCTCTTCTTTTCATAGCGGGAGAATCAGGAACGCATTTATAATACTGCATACCAACACGGCACAGCTGCTCAATACCTTCTCTGAACACAAAAGGACTGACAATCGGCAACCTTCTGACAAGAAATACAAGCCAGCTACTCAAAACACACCGCTGGTAAGTGTGACAGACAGGCTCATCTCCTCGACAATTAAGGAAAAACCGAGGAGAAGTTTAAGGACAAAAACCAGGAGTACTTACCAGCTTTAAGAGGGAAGCTGCAGCGAGCAGGGAGGTGCAGATGGGCGCTTTGGGACTGGGAAGCGCCTCTAAGAGGCGCTGGGGGGGGGGAGGGGGGAGGTGGAACACGGCCCCAGAAGCGCAGGGAAGGACGCAGGGGCGGCTCACACGTTATGGCTGCGAGAGCCTGAGCCCCGCGGCCATTCGCTCCCTCGTCCCCTCACCGTTTTAAATCTCAATCTCGGTTTCCATGCCGTCGAGGAGCCGCACGTGGCGGTGCTCCCGGCCGGGCTTCTCGTCGCAGCTCCGCAGAACGCGGCTGCGCCCGAACGGCCCGGCAGCGCCGACACCACGCGGCCTCCGGCCCCGCCGCCGCCATCAGCCCCGCCGCCGCCCACCCTTCCCCTCCCCGCAGCACAGCAGCACGAGGCCGCGACCCGCAGCGCCCACCCCCCCCTTCCTCCTCTACCGCTGGAACCCCGGAGCGGACGGCGCCGCTCCCGGCCCCCAGCCGCCGCCCGGGGCTCGGTGCCCGCTCCCTCACTCACCGCTCCCCGTCCTCCCGCCCTCTTCCCGGAGCCCCACGTTTCACACGCCGGACTCCCGCCGGGAGAGGGGCGATAGCAGCACGTGGCTCCATTTATCAAAGCGTGGCTGCGGGGCAGACAGCGGCCCGCCGCTCCTTCGCAGCCCGGCGGCTCGGGATTGGCCGGTCCGGACGTCGATCGGATCGAGCTGACCAATCGGCTCGCTCGCGAGGCGGGAGAGAGGGAAAGGCGGGAAGGGATTGGGGGAGGGGAAAGAGAGGACGGCTAACGGTTACGGCACGCGCCGGTCCCTCGCGTCGAGGGCGCGTTACCGCGGCCCGTAGTCGTAGTTGGCGGGCGGGGCGGGCGGGGAGTACACGTTGGCGGCCGCGTTGACGTGGTGGTGGTGGTGGTGATGGTGGTGGTGGTGGTAGCCGTGCCCGCGGATGCCGGGGAGCGGGTAGGGCGCGGGCCGGCTCTTCGCCCCCAGGTAGTGGTCGTAGGCGGCGGCCGGCGGGTACTTGTAGGGGTGGTGGTGCAGCGGCTCCGAGGCGGCGGGCTCCAGGCGCAGTTCGTGGTGCGGCGGGCTGGGCCGGCCGCCGCCGCTCAGGGGCACGAGGCCGCCGGCGCCGCCCGGCAGCGCGGGGCTGAGCACGCGCGACATGAGCTGTTGATGTGCCGCCTCGGCCTGCAGCGCCGCGCCGCCCGCCGCGTCCCGCTCGTAGTCCCGGCGGCCGTCGGCGGCATCTGCGGGAGCACCGCGTCAGAGCGGCGAGGAGCGGTCGGGGACCGCGGCGGGGGAACGGGACGGGGGGGCGAGGAGGGGACGGGGCCTCGCTTAGCGCCGAGCCGCCGCGCGCCCCGAGGTGTAACGCGGACGGGACGGGCCTTCGTTCCGCGGCGCCGAGCCCGGCAATGCGGGACGCAGGCGGGAACGGGGCGGGGGGCCGAGAGCTGCGGGACTCGGCGGGAGGGCTGCTGCCGCCGGAGCGGCGCTGAGCGGGTGGGAGCTGGGCGGGCCCGGCCGAAGAGCGGAGCGCGGCGCTTCGAACGGCCGGCGGCGGCGCCGAGCTCCGAGCGCGCGGCCGCGCATCCCGCCCGCAACGCGCCGCTCACCTTTCTCCGTGCCGTTCTGGTGCGCGGGGGACGACACCGGGTTTCGGGATCTGGCGAAAGCGCTCATGAGAGGGAGGGCCCCGGGCCGGTGGTTCCTGGGCCTGGAGGGAGAAGGGGAGAAGTGACGCGGGCCGAGCGGACGGAGCCGGGCCGGCACCCGGCTCTGCCGCACGCTGTGCGCTCGGAGCGGGGCTCCGTGCTGCGGCCTCACCAGTCTTCGGGGTCACAATCTCTGAATCCCTTGGCGAAAGGGTTGCTGGCGATCTTCAACTGCGTGATCTGCAGGGAGAAGCGGGAGGTGCTGGAGGACAACGGGTGGGCTGAGCGGAGGGCGCCCTCCACGAGGGCCCGCGGGCCGGGCTGCCTAGCGTGGGCTCCAGGCTCGGGAGGCGTGAGCGCACCGGTAAGAAAGTGCCACGTCGTGTGGGTCACCAGCGGAGCAGCTAAGCCAAATCGCTGGATAAATCATACTTATGTATTTATTTAATTCGCCGGGGAGAAGGCGGGACGTTCTCTATATTTAAGCAAATCCACGGATAATGAGATTGTGAGTTTCCGGAATGGGTTGAAAAACAAACTCTAAGCCCCTCAGTGACAGTTCCAGCCTTAGAGGTCAAACTGATAGAACGCGGGAGAGAAGGAGCAGCTGTCCGGAGCCGTCAGGCAAATGCCAGCCGGGCGGATCTCGGCGGCCCTTAAAGGCGCAGCCCGACCCCGCGGGTGGCACGGGGACACGGAGCTGAGCTCCGCCACGACGTCCCGGCGCGGCTCGGACTGCCGCTCCGCGCTGCCTGATGCGAGCGGGTGATCGCAGGGCTGCTGCCCGGTGAGGGGCGGGCCGGGTTGGTGTCAGGCGTGTGACTGCGTCCGAGGCGGGAGCTCGCGCGTCTCTCCAAACAAAGCGTGCGTGACGCTTCGCTCCGTGCAGCCGCGGCTCGGTTCGTGCACGCAATGAGGTCCCTCCCGCCCCGCCCCCGGTGCCCCTGCCTCACCCGGTGGTTCTGGTAGGCGGTCACGGCCGTGAAGCGCGTCTCCTCGAAGACGAAGGTTTTGAAGTTCTCCTCCGCGTATTTCTCGCTGTCTTTCCGGGGGTCCACGTAGACCACGTGAAAGCGCGGCTGGTATCTGTGCATGGAGTTCAAAATGATCTGAATGATAAAACGAGCAAGGAGACAATAACTGATCCAGGCGGAGCTTCCAGAGAGGCGAACGCGGCCCCGGCCCCGCCGCCTGCCCGGCCCCGGCGCTGCGGGCGGAGGGACCCGCGGCGCGGAGACGTCCCGGGCTCGTCCCCTCCCCTCGGAGCGCTTACATGGCCGTTATCGTCCAGCAGGTTGTTGGTCAGCTTGAGCTTATCGAAGGACACGATCTGCTTCATCCACTGCGCCCCTTTGGCTGGAGAGTCCGGGTGGTAGTGCACCCTGCCGGGCGTGGCGGGGTCGGCCTTGCCGGCCACGAGCCAGGAGGAGCTGTGGAAGGCATACCTGGGGGCGGGGGGGGGGGGCCGTCAGCCGCAGCTCCGAGCCCTGCGGCCCCCCTGGCTCCCGCCCGCAGCCCCCGGCCCGCCGAACCGCGGGGGGCGACGCCGCACTCATTGCGGGGGGAGAAACGGCATCTGATGGCGTGTGCGGATGGCGGGGGGAGCGCCGTGCGGGACGGGGCGACGCGCGGCCGCTGCGTGGCACGGGGCGGCCGCAGCTCCCAGAGGAGGGGGAACGGCAGCGCTGTGAGCCGCGAGCCGAGCCGTGGGTGCGGATTTAGCAGTGGGTGCGGAGCTCTGCAACCCTGCTTCGTTCTTTCAAAGTCCGCATTCAACAGTAACGGTTAAAACAGAGAAACCAATCTTCTATCCGCGTGTTTACTTTACAGCCCGTGTTTGCACAGGGGGAATTAGACACCATTGGACTCAGCAGAAACATTACTTTTTAAAGATATACTCAATTGGATGTTATATATCCCACTTCCCTTGACAAGCAAACATTTCTAGGACGCCCTGAGAATTTGGATATCTGTCCAAATATTTATATATTGGACCCTGCGGTCCCTGCGTGCACTGCCTCCTTGGCGTCCCGAGTTGAAGCCAAACGCGTAACTGCGCCTTCCAGGGGCTGCCACACCGCTGCCCGTGCCGCTCGGCGAGGCCTTCCGGTGCCGCCGCTGGAAACACGGGCAGGGCCGGGGCTCGGACAGCCGCTGCCTGCCCCGGGCACTGCGGGAGCCTCGGGGGGATTTCTGGGGGCAGCCGAGCGCTTCCCGCTGCGCACGGGGAGCGGCAGGCGGGGCTCCGGACTGAGCAGGCGGGGAGCTGCGCACTCCGGCCTGGCCGTGCCCGGGCGCTGTGCGCAAAGCCAGGAGGGGGGAACACCGCTGCCAGCACAGAACTCGTTATAACGGGGCTGGGGGGGGGGGGGTGGGGGGTACTTACCGGTAGCGCTTGTCGTCTACAGGGACGAAATCCATGAGGAGCATGTAGTCAGCCATGGGGTCCATGCCGAATATCTTCACCTGGAAGGTGGGGAACATGCGCCTGCCACAGAGAGAAGAAAGCTGAACTCGGGGCCGCAGGGAGTCCCGAGAGGTCGGCCCGGAGTGCAGGCGCCCCGCAGTGCCCCCCGGCCCTTCCCCACGGGTGCCGCTCGCATTCGGGTTGGGGCTGTCGTATCCCCTGTGGCATCTAGAGGAGTAAGTCCCGTCCGGATTGTGCCGAACACCTAAAACGCTCAGGGGCCAACGAGAACCACCACCTCTACTTGGCAAGGGGAGACACAATAATTTTATCCCGCTGTTTCACCACATTTTCAAGTGAACTGACTCGAGACTGATGCAGAGCCGAGCCGGGACAGGGACCGGGCCAGCACATTTCCCAGGGAAATGAGCTTCTGCCCCTCCAAAATCAAGCAGTTTTACGGCAGCACTTAAAACGGCGGCGCGATCCCTGGGGCCAAAGGGAGAGTCTCCAGCCCAGAGGGGCGAACGAAACCCTCTGGCCGGCAGGGATGAGAGGATAATCGGGATCTCCCCGCGAGCCCCTTCCCGGTTCGGCCCTCCTCCGCTGGCCCGCCGGTCCCGGTCCGCATCTCTGCGGGGCGAACGGAGAGCGGGAGGAACCGGACGCTCCGGGGCGGTGCGGGGAGGCCTCGGGCTGCTCCCGCCGCGCATCTCCGCGTGGAGCTCCGCGGACGCGGCTGAGCCGAGGCCGCGGGTGCCGCTCTGAGGGCAGCAACGGAAGGGGCCGGGGCGGCCCCCGCGTCCCTCGCACCGTGGTCCGGCCTGGCCCGCATTGATTTCGGGACGCGCCGAAGATGCGCCGCCGGGGCAGGGCTCGCACGGCTGCCGTTCTGCTGGATGCATTTTCTCCCCGGATAAGAATCCGGGAGAGCGACAGCGGGCGACGTTTCGGGGAAAAGATTTGCAGCCGTTGAAAAACCAAACTCCGAACACCTCCTGAAAAAACGCCCCGATCCAAGCCGGCTACGAAGGGTTCTCTCCGGCTCGTTTTCACGGCACAAGTCTGCGCTGCCGGGCGCCTCCCTGGGCCGTTTAGGTTGCAGGAGGGCTGTGTGCCCCCGGGCTCCGCACCCGACCCCGCCGATCCTTCGGCCCGCACCGAGCAGCGCCGCGAGCCGCGTCCCCTTCCGCGTACCGCTGTGAGAACTCCGGAGGCCATTTCCAGCAGTTCCCTCTGTTATTATTTTTAAAAGTGTAAAAGCCCCCATTAGCTCCGGTTCCGGTGTTTCTTGTTTTAAAACGAAGTTTTTAAAACAAACACCCCGAGTCGATAAGAGCCACCTAGACAAACAGCGGGGCCGGCCCCGAGGCACTGCACAGAGCGCACTTCACAGCGCCGTCCCCGCGCCTCGTCCTGCTGATTTTACCCCCGTTTATCCTATTTTTACCCCCCTCTCCCCCTCCCGTCTGAAGATTTGTCATTGTCATCAAATAAACGAAGAGGAGGAGGAAAGCCCGGGATTCGAATCGATTTCTCTCCTTTAGGGGCCCTTTTGGAGTCGCCTACTCGCAATCCTTTGGCTGTCCTCAGCGACCGAGGAAAGCAGCGCGGGGGGTCCCACCGGAGCGGCCCTTTCACCGCGGAAAGCAGCGCCGGGCCCGGGAGCCGCACGGAATGCCGCCGGGTGCCGCCGGCCCGGAGCTGCTCCTCGCCGGGCGCGGGGAGGCTCGAGTGGAGTCACTTAGGAAATGTTTTTGAAATGTGCGATCGCGCACATGAGAATCTATTTACATTTTCGCGTCTTTACTATCCAAAATCGCCGCGGGGAGAGCAGGAACGCGCGGCCGTTTTGAAGCCGCTCCCGGGGCTCATCGCAGCCACCCCGGCTTCCCTGCCGCCCCCCGCCGGGACGTCGCAGGAGGCGGCCCGCAGCTCTGCCCGGAGATCGCAATGAACTGAGGCGATTCCCGATCAGCATCGGGATTTCTCCTCTCCCCGCGTTTTGCCCGTTTCGAACGAGGCCGAGGCCTTTGTTCCCGGCTCCGGAGCAGAGCTGCCGGCAGAGCCGCGCTCGTCATTCGATCCTCGGGAAACGCGCTCGTCCTGGAGGACGCTTCGAGGCTTTACACCGCCAGAACCGGGGGCTGTTTGCAGTCCCCGCCGAAAGGGAAAGATCCGCCCGTACTGGAAATGTTTCAGTTAAAGGTACCGCGGTGCGGGCCGTTCTTTTTTTTTCCCCGCTCCGCACAGCGCGGCCCGCCGCTGCCCGCCGCACACGGAGCCTTCGGGCCGGGGCCGCCCGCGCGTTTCGTACCGGGAGAAAGGCGAAGATGGACCGCCGGCAGCCCTGTGCCAGCCGCCCCGACAGAGCCCCGCTCCCCCCAGCGTCTCGCGAATGGAAGGGGCTCCGGGCCGAGCCTCCCGGGCGTCCCTCCGCACTGACCTGCCGGCCTTGGTGACGATCATCTCGGTGCCCAGCTGGTTGAACTCGTCCCACAGCGCCTTCATCTCCAGCTGCACGCTCACGTTGGCCACTTTCGGATTCTTCTTCACCGGCGCCTTGGCCGCGGCGGCCGTCCCCGCGGAGCAGCCCGAGACGGCGGCGGGCCCCGCGGCGGCTCCCCCGGCGCCGTCGGGCGGTTCGGGGCCCGGAGGCGGCGGGTTGGCCCCGGCCGCCGCCGCCCCGCCGAAGGGGTAACCGTGCTGCGGCTGGGGCGGCGGGTGCGGGTGCTGCTGAGCCGTGCAGGGCTCGTAGTGCGGCGGTTCATGCTGTCCGTACGGGTCCCCCGGGGAGGGGGAGAGGTGGTACCCCCCGGAGGCGTTCAGGCTGCTCAGGCTGTTGGCCGTGAAAGCTGCAACATCGCAAAAATGGGACAGCTGGGTGAGCCAGGGGCTGGAGATAGCTGAAATCATTCCAAAAACAGGCGGTCAGGGCTCCGCTCCGGCTCCCGCTTTCCCTCCGGCTCCGCGCCGCTCCGCGGGGTGCCCTCCGCCTCCGCGCCCGGCCCAGCGGGGCCCTCCCCCTTTCCGCTCCGCTCGGCCCCAGCCCCGCTCCCCCCGGGGCAGGCGGAGAATTCGCCGCTCCCGCTGCTGCCGCCTCGGCGCCGCGTTTCCCCCTTCTCTTCTCCTTTCTATTCTGTTTCTTCGCAAACCCGAGACATCTGCCAAGAGCCCGCGTTATCTTTGCTGAAGGCCTCCTTCGCCGCAAGCGAATCGGGACAAAAAACCTCCCGGCACCCCTCAAAAATTAAAAAAAAAAAAAAAAAAAAAAAAAAAAAAAAAATCTTCCATAAACAAAAGGAGGAGGAAAAACCCAAAGAAAGAAACCGGTTCTTATTTCCGTGTAGCGACGGTGCTGCAGGTAACGTCCCTGGCTCAGGAGCCGCGGAGCCGTGGCTGCCGGGGGCAGCGGCTCTGCTTTGCGTCTGTTCCTCCCCGAGGAGGCCGGAGGGGACCCGAGCGGAGGAGCCCGAAGGCACCGAGAAGCCTCGCACGGCCCCGGGAGTGCAGCCCTCGGCCGCCGTTCCCGAGCGGGCCTCCCTGAGCGTGACGGTTGGCCGGGGAGCGGGAGGCTGCCGCGAGCCCTGCCCGATCCTGGAAGGCATCCGGAGGGTGCGGGGGAATCTCTCGGGTTATTTCCGACGGAGCCCCCGGGCGCGACGGCCGTCTCGGAGCCGGCGAGGGCCGAGCCCAGGCCCGCCGCCGCCCCGGGCACGGCCGCGGCCGTCGGGGGATGCTGCTTCGGGGAGCCGCGAAGACGAGGGGGCGCGAACCGAGCCCGGCTCTCCGACCGGGATTTGAGGACCTCGTCCCGGCTAAGCGGGGAGCGTCGAAAGTTGCGGGCCCGTGGCACCGCCGAGCGGCCCCAGGTGCCCGGCCCGGCCGCGGCGCGCGGAAAGCCCCGAAAGGCGATGGCGGAGGGTCGCGGCCCCGCCGCCCCGCGCTCACCTTCCATGTCCCTGGTGACGGTGCTGAAGTGCATCTTCTGCGGGCGGGCGGCGGGGCGGGCGGGCGCGCTGCGGCCGCCGCTGCGCTCCTCCAGCGCTCCCTTCCCTGCGTGCTCGGCGGCGGCGGCGACTGAAATCAGAGAGGCGATACTGAAAGCATTTGCCTTGGGAGACAGAGGGCTGTTTTCGTCCATAGGGGAGACACCAATGCGGCAGCAGCCGCAGCGGCAGCCTCCCACCACGAGCCCCCCCGCCCGCCCCTCACTCCCCTCCTTTCTACCGCACCATCCAGGGAGGTGCGAGCGGGACCCCCCTCCTTCCAGAAGGGGGGCGGGGGGGAAGCTAAAAAAAAAAAAAGAAGAAGAAAGAAATCCAACAAAAACGCCGCAAACAAACAAAAAAAAAACCAACAAAAAACAAAAACCCAACCCCAACCCTTCCTCCCTCCCCCCCCGGGAAGGGCGCTGGGGAGTACGGAGTTTCCCCGGGGCCCTCTGCGCAGTGCCGCGCACCGCAGCGGCCGCATGGAGCCCTGCGGGAGAAGGGGAGTGGGGATCGATGGAAACCCCACGGTGCTTTTCCCCGGGGCCGCCGTTTCTCTCCACTCAATTTCTTTCCCTGCGGTTTATTAATTTATTTCCTCTCTTCCCTTCCCCCCAACCACCACCTCCTGCCGCCCGCCCGTCCCCTCCTTTTCTCCTGCACGTAGGGAAAGTGGCTCCCTTAGAGGCGCGTTTCCCCGTTCAGCGGCTGGGAGGCGTCACACGGAGCCGGGGGTGTTTGCCTGCAGAAGCAGCGGCGGTGGCAGCGGCGAAAGCGAAGTGAAACTCCTGCCGAGACGGTGTCAAAGGGCTGGGGAGGCCCTTCCCCGCCTCCCGGGCACGGCAAGCGGCCGGCGGGGAGGGCCGGGATGTGCTCGGGGCGGGCGGAGGGGCGGCGGTGTCAATCACGGCTCCGGGAGCCGACGGGAAGGGAAGAGCCGAGCGGAGCCGAGCCGAGCCCGGAGTCACGCTGCGGGATGTCCGGCACCGAGAGGGGGATCGCTCCCTTCCTCCGTTCCGTATCCAGCGGGGGCTGCGGGCTGCCACGGCCCGGACGGGGCTCGGCGGCCGCGGGCAGCGGCGCGTCGGGTGCGCAGCAGGCGTAGGTACCGCCTCCAGCCCCGCGGAGTGCAACGAGACCCCCATCTCCGGGCCAACAACAGTCACACACGAGCATCGGAGCGTTTCCTTCACCACAAAAAATAAAATCAAAAAGCGGAGCGAACGGAACGCAGCCGGCGTGGCGGAGGACTATCCCTTGCGCTGCCCGGCGGCAGGACAGCCCGCTCCTCCGCGGCACCTGCCCGGCCCGGGTCCGCTCTGCCCCGGTTCCCCTCCCGGTCCCGGCCGTGGCTATACTCACCGCCCGGCAGCGGCCCTTCGGAGAGCCGCGGCGGCCCCCGGGGCCGGTCCTCCGCATCGGCGTGGGGCGAGGCTGCACAGCCCGCCGGGCCCGGCCCGGCCCCGCTTCCCGTTCCTGTCCCGGTCCCGGTGCCTCCGGACGGGCGGCCGCAACGAAGTCCCGGGGGAAATGCCCCGACGGGGCGGGCGGAGCCGTGGGGCGCGCCGGTGGCTACCGCCGAGATGGGGGTTGCATAACCCGAGCGATGTGCGGAGAGTCGGAGTGAGCAAGCGGGTTATATATAGCTGCCCCGTCTGTAGCCTGCGGGGCTTGATTCTTCTGTTGAAATATTATCTTTGGACGTGGTAAAAATATTTGCAGAGAAAAATCTAGACTACTCGTACATATTTGAGCATATGTTCCTGCAGCTAAAGGCATAAGGGCAGAACGTGACACGATCGGGGTTTATTTCCCCGCCGCTGCTGTCAGCGCTGCTCCCGGCCGGGTGCGTTCCCTCCCGCCGCACCGGCACAGAAAGCGAAGGCGCTGCCGCTGCGGCCCCGCGCTGCTGCCGGGCTGCGGGCGGTGCGGGAACGGGTGTCGTTAGGAACCACGGAGCGAAATTGTCGGGGCGGAGGGGGCAAGCGGAGAGAAGGGAGGGTTACTGCCAACGGTGCGGGGAGGCCACGAGCTGCCGCGGGCGGGACGTGCCCGGCTCTGGGTCAGCCTCTGGCGCGGGAGGAAAACGAAAATCTGGAAATGAAGTCCTGCACCACAGCACGACGGCTGCTGCTCGCGCTCTGCTTGCCCCGGCCGTTTCCCAGCTCATCCCCGTATCCCCGTGTGCCTGCCTAAAGCCCCGGCCGCGTTTGCCGGGATCTCGCCAGACCCCCGGGTCCCCGTCGGAGCTCTGTGAAGCGAATCCCCGTCTCGCTGAGCACCGAGAACTCGACGCGGGGGAAAGAGCCGGACTCCCCCGCCCCTGGCACACATCTCCTAAGCCCCCAAATCCTCAGGCCCCGGAGATGGAAGAACCAGCGGCGGCACTGGAAAAACCGCTCACCGTATCCCATCCCCGCGGCCCCCCGATGGCAGCCTCGGCCCCGCCGGTGCACCCCGAGACTGGGCATCGCCGCTTCCCTATGATCCCGCTGCCCTCCCCGGCAGCAGTTGGGGCCCCGCACCCCAGACTTTTCAGACGAGGCGAGGGCTACTCCCTTCGTACTCCTCGCGGCACCAGTCAGCTCCGGGGCCGTGCCGCTCCGGGCCACTGTCCTTTGAATCCCTTGGGCCGGCCTTCCCCCCACAGCCCGCGCCCGGGCTGCTCCGCAGGTGTGTGCCACTGCCCCGACGGGCTCTCCCCGCAGAGCCCCCCGCCGCCTCATTCCCTCCGTCCGCCCTCCACACTCACCCCTCCGCCCGCATCTCTCCTCCCGGCCCTCCCCGAGCCCTCCTTTCTGCTCGCTCCTCGGCCTCTGCCCGGCCCCGCTGTCTCTCCCGCCCCTCACCTCTGAACCCCGACGGCCCCCGGCGAGGCCGAGCTGCGGGGGGGAGAGGGGGGGGGTGTTCGTACGGTTCGACTCGAGCTGAGAACCGCCGGGCTCGGGGAGAATCGAGCAAATAGCGGGGGAAAACAGCGGCAGCGGGCCGGGCTGAGCGACCCCCGCGCTTCCCCCGTCCGAGAGCTGCGAGCGGCGCTGAATAACGGCGGCACGAATACGGCGTCCGTCGGGCTGTGGTGGCCGCCAGGGCGCTGCTCGCAGCCGTTCGGCCGGACGGAGCCGCGGGAGTGCGAGGATTCGTTGTGAGCGGGGAGAAAGAGAGGAGCGCGAGGAGATCTCGCAGGTGACAGAAAGCCGCGGCTCTTGCGGGACTCGGAAAAACGGGAATTCCTGGCGTTTAATTTAAGACCGTTATCGATGAGCGCTGTTATTTCTCAGACAGCCACCATCGTTACTATTCCAATTACGGCAACTACTACGGGTATTTTGCAACTGCCGCTTGAACTGTAGGAACGGAATTAACGAATCTATCAAAAAAATCCAAACATCAAATGTGTCGCTGAGCGAGTCCCACTGAGACAGACTGATAGACAGAAATAGAGAAGGGGGGACCGGCAGAGAAGGAAAGGAAGAAGGAAACTGGAAAGACAAAGAAACAGAAACAAAGAAGGAAGGAAATGAAGGAGAAGAAGGAGAGACGTATGAAAAGAGAGGAAAAAAGAGAAAGATAGAAAGAAAGAAAGAAAGAAAGAAAGAAAGAAAGAAAGAAAGAAAGAAAGAAAGAAAGAAAGAAAGAAAGAAAGAAAGAAAGAAAGAAAGAAAGAAAGAAAGAAAGAAAGAAAGAAAGAAAGAAAGAAAGAAAAGAAAGAAAGAAACATAAAGAAAGAAAGAAAGAAAGAAAGAAAGAAAGAAAAAGAAAGAGAATGAAAGAAAGAGAAGAGTGAAAAGAAAGAGAAGGGTGAAAAGAAAGAAAAAAGAAAGAAAAAAGAAAAAGAAGGAAAGAAGGAAAGGAAGAGAAAGATGAATAAAGAGAAAGAAATAAAAGAACAAAAAGAGAAAGAAAAAAGAGAGAAAAAAAGAGGAAAGGAAAAGGAAAAAGAAAAAAGAAAAAAGAGAAAGCAAATAAAGGACGGAAAGAAGACACCGGGGAGACGGGCAGAACGACCGCAGCGGACGGAACGCAGGGAAGCCGCCCCGCCGCCCGCACCTGGAGCGGTTCGCACTCGGCGGTTCGGTCGCCGCCCCTCCGCGGGGCCCCGCGCGTCCCCCGGCCCCGGCCGAAGTCGGACAGCCGCCGCTCGCTGCTCTCCTCGGGCCGCCCCGAGCCGTCTCTCCCGTTTCGCGGCGCCGCGGCAGTTACGAGCATCGACGACGACCGCTCTGCGTCCGGCGGGGGTTCAGCCGCCCGCTCCGGCAGGTGCGACGCCCGCGACGTGCGGCACGGGCACCTGAGGCCGTGCGGGGAACGGCTCCTGTCCGGGCCTCCCCCGCCGCCTCCCCGGGCCGCCGGCGGGCCTCTGAGGTGGTCTCGTTTGGGGTGGGGGGTTCCGGGAGATGAGGGAAGAAAGGAAGGGAGAGAAAATAGAAAGGAAAAGATAAAGGAAAAAGAAAGAGAGGTAAGAAAAATGGAACAAAAAAAAATGAAAAGAAAAATGAAAAAGAAAAAAAGAAATGTGGAAAAGAAAGGGAAGGAAAAGAGAAGGAAAAGGGAAAGAAAAGGGAAGGGAAGGAAAAGGAAAGGGAAGGGAAGGCAAGGCAAGGCAAGGGAGATGGAGGCAAAACTAAAAGTGTGAAAGAAGGAAAAAAAGCGAAAGGGAAAGGAAAGAGAGACAAAAGCCCTAAGAAAGAAGGAATTGGAGAACAAATAATTATTGTTACAACCAGCACAAGCCTCATGCACAGCCGCCGTATTCTCGCTGCTGGGCAGGGACGCGCCTGGGAAAGCCGCGGCTCACGGCCCCGCTCTGCCCAACCCCGCGGCCTCGCGTGGGGCTCCGCTTTGGGCTCTGGCTCCCTTTGCCAGCCTCGGCTCCGCGTTATACGTTACGGGGATTTGCGGCTGGCTTTATGCGGTCACTTGCCTGCAAATCCCAACACAGAGATCACGCACGGGGAAATTCTCAGGAATAAAACTGTCAGCCGCCCACCTCCAGCACGAAGCCAACAGGACTTCTTCCCTTCTTTCTCCCTTTCTTCCTCTTTTTCCCTTTTTTTAAACACTCCCTTCTCCCCCCGTTTAACGGCAGCTCGTTTTGCCCTGCGCTGCCCGCGTTGGGGCCGTGCCGTTGCAGAACTCCTGCCTGGCCCCAGCGCGGGGCTCCGGCACTTCGCGTCCTCGCCTGGGCAGCGCAGGAGCCCCCACAGCT